AAGGGACTTTCTAGTCCAACCCCCTGCAATGAACAGGGACATCTGGAACTAAATGGAAAGCTTGGGCAGCAGCTTCTCCCCTAACACTGCTGAACTGGATTCAATTCGAGCCACAGAGCAAGCAGGAAGGCATCTTGCTATCCAATTTCTCTCTTACAAATAATAAGAATTACCCCCACTGGGGACTTGTTCTGGCTTCTGACAGTACTGCAGATGTTATGCAAACCAGCACAAAGTCCATCTGCCTTAACAGGCTGGCTAAGGTCAGCCTTCCATCTTAGCCCCATAACACTTGCACAAACATGGACATATTGACATGATAAACAGCAAAACTGACCTCTTGGCTTCCAGCACTGGTGGCACCACAGGGACTGCTCCTATAAGGAATTTCTGCCTTGGCAGGGCTGACAAGCCCTCAGTGCCAGGTGCACGTTTATAGTTGTGCCAGGACATTGACTTCTTCCTGGTAGGGCCATGCTCCTTGAATGTCCAAAATGAATGGAATTTCCCCATAGCTGACACAGAGCTGCAGTAATCCTCCCTGGTTTGGTAGATTCACCGTAAAGGAAGGTTATTAGTTATCATGAAAGCTTTGAAATAGCTGACTCTTTTGAAGCCATCTGCTTACCTTTTACCTTCTCCCTGACTGCACCTGAATCAAAAAGAAATGTTTCAGTTTTTGGTTCCTGGAAACATCCATCTCTCTGTGCATGTGGGGACAGCCTGACCGACCGTGCAACGACAGCCTGATTTACAGCCCTGTGCAAACCTGGAGTAACTCTGAGGGCAGGGTAAAGGACAGGACCAGCAGACCCAGGAATTGCCATGAGCAACCAAATCTCTACGTCCCTTATGCTGGTTTCTCTCTTCTTGCTGTTCAAAACTCTCCTAGATTCTGCATTAAGCGTGTATTAACATCTAAGTATCTTAAAGTACCTCACTGTGCACAATACTAACCTCCATCAGAGATATGAAACATCCCTTTTCACTTCCAAACACAAACTCCTTTGCAGTCCAGGTTAAGATGCCTCATCCTGGACCTGCAGACCCTTATCCTCCCAGCTATGAATACACTCACAAATGCTCAGAGCCCCACATACAGGTAGAACAAATATATCGAGTACACACACACCTTATCAGCCCTACTAGAGCTCAAGATAGAAGTGGTGGGCCCCAAATATCCACCTCATGGTGGAAACTAATCATCTCCCAGTTTAATGGATAGGAGAATTGAAGCTCCAAGACAGGCAGCTGAACTGGCACCCACCAGGATAATCTACACTAAAACTGGTGCAGGAAAAAGCCACAGGAAGATCTCTGGTTCCTTTTGCTGTAACTGCCGCTATTTGTGTTTTGGTGCCACGCCAAAATGCCTCACATCCTGCCAGTTTGGTTACTGACAACACTAACAAGCTGCAGAAGCTGCTCATGAAGATGCTGGTGGCACAATGGATATACTATCAAGCTATATGTGCATTTGTCCTGGTGCATCTATAGTACTATAGTACTACTGCAAACCATCATTTCTCAAGCTGGCCAAGCCTCTCTGCATGAATTGTCACAGGGATGACTGAGGAGCACTGTCCTACACAGCACAGCCTTGCCTGGTCCTACAGTTAGCAGTTACTAGGGCATCTCCAGGGCAAACAGGCCCTCTGCTCTCAATTGCCCTTTCCCTTATCAGCTCCAAAAAGAGGTCAAGGTCACACACACAGGCTTTAATGCTTACAGAGCCTGAGAATACAAGGGGGATTGCACAAAGGCTGGTTTATGGGCACAGAACTCCAGACATGATGTAAAATCACTTTTAGACTTTATGGCAGAGAAAGGGATATAGGAAGGAGAGAGGAAGGGAAGCAAAATCTTCTCAAAAGGTTTTGCCCATTGTGTTTCAAGCAAGTCAAACACATTACAATGTTGTTTGAAACTCTCTGAAGATCTTTTTTGGCCCAGGACAGGCTGGCAGGCTCTACACTGTGAGGGAAACAGGCACAAAGAGGAGTGCTGTTCGTACAGCAGCACATACAAGAGGACCCAAAGGCTCTCTTCAATGGACATGGGGAGGGTCTGGCAACCGGACCATGGTTTATTTCCTAGAGGTAAAACAGCAGGGAGGCTCTGGTGGAAGAGGTGGGCAGGTGGGGATATGGGACAGGGTAATGTCTGCTTAGACCATAGAAGCTTAGGAGCCAACCTCATGGTTTAGCTCCCAGCCACAGGAAAGTTTCCCAACAGCAATCCCGACTGACTCCAGTGAGGACATTACACCTAAAGACTTAGAGAGCAAAACATTCACAATCCCTTACCTGGCCATTGCTTTTTAGTGTTCCTCTGGCTTATCCAAGAATCCCTTAAAGAAATCCAAATCCTTTCCACATCACAGACACACTGCCCAGTTACCTAAGGAAAACAGCACCCATCTAAGACCAGTTTCGTTTGCCAGCAGTGGAGGCAGGCTGCAGAAATACACGTATTAAGACGCTGCAGAAGACAGGTCAGCGGGTCTGATGCCTCCACAGAAGCGAAGCAAGACCATGGAGATGCTCCATTCTTGCAGGGTGGATAGGGAGGGAGGACAGTTCCTGCCTGGTCTGCCTGCGCCCTCTTGTGGCTGCCTGGCCACGCTGCACAGGGTAGGACCAAACCAGAGAGGCTGCACTCCCTAAAGGATCAGAGAACCCCAGACGGGTTTGTGTTGAAAGGGAGCTTAAAGCTCACCCAGCTCCAATCCCCTGCCACGGGCAGGGACACCCTCCACTAGAGCAGGTTGCTTCAAGCCCCTGTGTCCAACCTGCCCTTGAACACTGCCAGGGATGGGGCAGCCACAGCTTCTCTGGGCACCCTGTACCAGAGCCTCAGCGCCCTCAAATAATCTCTTAAACACTGTAAAGATCTGTGCTACCATCAGTGAACGATGTTTCTCTAGCAACAGCTATTTGGAGCACCAGAGGTCCTCCTGTGTCCATTCATGATTACCAAAGGTGGAGTTACCTAGCTTTCCTCAGTTCCCTCTCATCAGAGTAGTGAGGGAATTTATCCTGGAGATTCTTGTATTACTTGCTAATAGTAGACTCCATAGGATTAAAATAAAATAAAACCAAAATAGAATATAATAGATAAAGAAAAATAAAAATAAATAAAACCAATAATAATATATAATAAATCCCTTTCTGGACACAGCTCCCAGTTTAGAACCCAGCTGCTTAACAGAGTACAGCCCAGGAGCTGAGAAGCACAGAGCAACTTTAGTTACCTGAGCACACCAGCAGCCCATTCTAGACCCATCAGGGAAGGGATGCGCATGCACAACTCTGAGTTTGGCAGGACAACCCTTCCAATAACTCCATCCTATCAGCTGCTGGTCCTGGTGGCTCCCACCTCCTCCCTGAAGCCCCTCATTCATACAGGGTGCTCTGGCCCTCCTGGCAGCTCTGCTCACAGGTGGGATGGGCAGACACCACCAGAGCTGTCCCTGCTCCTCAATCACCAGTTGGTTTCCTCCTGCACGTCTGGATGACTTGGCTGCCCCATATCTGGCAGTGTTCAAGGCCAGCTTGGACGGGGCTTGGAGCAACCTGCTCTAGTAGGTGTCCCTGCTCATGGCAGGGGGTTGGAATTGGATGAGCTTTAAGGTCGCTTCCAACCTAAACCATTCCATGATTCTATGCAGAAATACCCGTGGAAGAACTCTGCTCACTACCAAAACAGTCACTTAGATCTGGGTGAAGTCAGGGAGCAACCAGCTGCCAAAGGGGCAAACTGATGAAGAGAAGCATTAAAACCCCATTCCCATCAAATGGTGGCAGGAGAAGCACAGAGCACAATGCCAACAAACCTGATTCTTCTCTTGGCTACCAAACACAGATGCCCCAACCAACCCAACCCAACCCTAGAACTGCAACCAGACTTTTAAAGAGGTTAATAGCAAAAGTTTATTTTCCTGTAATAAAGAGCAGGGTGCAACCATCCCGCTGTTAAGAGAGTGACTTCATATTAATCTACAAATTGCTGTTTTGTTTCAAATGGAAGACAACCTTATGCAATGCTTTTCTTCAGCTCCTTTCATCTCAAAGTGCTTTACAAAGTGACACCGAGGCAGGGGGAATAGCCCTCAAACCAGAACATCTACACAGAAAGATCATCTCATTCCCAGTGCTGCAATGCAGCCATATCTGTTGTGCAATGCAACAGTGAATGGCACAGGACATGTAGAGATCAGATCAGGGGGAGCAGATATAAGGAGAAAACTGCCAGGGATAGGATTTACCTGAGCTGGAATCTGCAGCTGAGGAAGGCAGACACCACCAAAAGATTCAGGCTTATCACTAGCTCAAGACCCAGCCAGACTCTTACCCAAAGAGATGTTCAGAATTCAGCCCTGGAGGTCAGCCCTTTCCAAGCTGAAGGAGATGGATTCAATACTCACATGTATTGTGCAATGTGTCCTCTCAGCTCTGGGGATATCAAAGTTTCACATGGCTACTAAACTTTGGCAAGCAATAGCATGTGCCAGCATAGCTGTAAAGGAGCAACCCAGCACCATCCTGGGAGTGTGCTCAGTGACAGCAAAGCTTGTGCTCATGGGGGTCTTCTACAGGAAGGTTTTCTCAGCTCTGCTGTGAAGCTGTCCTTGTATTAAGATTCCAAACCAGAACTTTCACCTTCCCTGTCTATTCCTCCCTCTACTGAACAGAAACACGGCAGCTCAGTTTTTTTCCACTGATGATACAGAGTTCCTACCGTAGCATCTCTCAGGAGAGGACGAAACTGACTGGAGCTGAGGATGGTGATGTGGTTCTGGACACCAACTTGCTAAGATGAGAGTTATGATGATGGCAGAGTCAAGACTGCAGAAATGCCACATGAGATGAAAACCCCAGGGTAGGTGGTGACTGAGCAGATTCCAGAATCGCTGACAAAAAAAGGCTAAATTGGCTATGAAACATTGTCATGGCTTTTAACACATCCCTGTACAGACAAGCCTGGGTCTGAGCTCAAGCTGTAGGGGGCCTCCAACAGCTTTAATGACATCCCTCCCAGAACATTTTGAGGCACACAGGAACCACAGCTACATCCCTCATGTGCACACAAAGATGTCTCAGATTCCCTCATTGGGGATGGGAGCCCAGAAGCTGGGTTTCTCAGTGGACATGCATGTCTAGGTATAATGCCATACAAGGAAGGCCTCAGGACTGCTCAGCCTGGGCATGCTACTTCCGGAGACATGAAAACCCAGCCTGGGACCACAGGTTTTATCTAAACAGTGGGAACAACACTGCCCAAAGCTCCTTCAGAGCAGAACACCTCAAAGACATCTTTGTGAGTGAGGTTTCTAAGAGCACCATGGGGGTACTTCTGCACCAAGGACCAACACCAACACATCAAGGTCTGCATCTGCCTGTGGCAACTACAGCAGATTTTCTAGAGCAGGAGAAAACATTCTGCACCAACTGCAGCCAAGCTGAGAGTTATGGCTTTCCCAGCTCACTTTCTTCTGCTGAAGGCCTCAGATGCACAGCTCTGGTCCCTGTTCTGCCTGTTCCCCCAACCTGGATCACCCTGTGCCAAATTGCAAGCTAAAACCAGAAACAAATCCCTCTTTGTGACTCAGTTGGCAGAAAGCTTCTCATGCAAGCCCCTTTAAAAGGAGCAAGTAAGTACTTGGAAACAGGCTGTTCATGGCTCTCCATAAGATTATTGTGTGCTGCTGGCGTCTACAAGGCCATTAGGAGAGTAAGTGGTCAGCAGGACCTAAGTGTATGGCTGGGCACAGCACCCTCCACCCCAAAGAATAAGTGGATCAGATGGACAGACAGCCAGCATCTGTCCTGAAAGACTTGCTTACAAAGAAGGTCCAGGACTCCTGCCTTGCCCAGGACTGGCCTCGGGTTATGCCAAAGCAGCTTGCATATAAAAACAAAAGTTTAAACAAACATATGGATACACACTGCATATAGGAGACTCCATAGAGGACAGTCTATAGGCAGCCACCCCAGAGCAGCCAGGCCCAGCCCAGCTCTGAGAGGGTAGCATGGCAACTGCAGTCTGCTCACAGTTGGAGATGTGGGAGAGCTGAAGGTGGAACTTGTGCTTCTTGCTCCTTGATCAGCTTCATGCAGAGAAAGGTGGGAGCAAGTAAGGCCTGTTGCAGGAGAGGCACTGCATTCGTCTGTTTGGCAGACTACGTTTGACAAGCTGTTCATACAGGACCAGTTTCCTTCCATGCTTAGGCCTCTGCCTACATCTCACTGGGATAAAACCCAAGTTTGGCCAGAGACATCTCCCTCCGGAGCCGCATGACCTCCCAGTACATCAGCTCCACTGCAAAGCAAAAAGAGTGAGGAAGAGAAAGAAAAAAATCAACACCAAACATCAGTAAGCAATGCACGGCTGGACATAACAGTTCATGTTACGCTGCGCTCACAGTGAAGCCCAGCCAGGCTCATCCCCAGAGTGAGGGAAGCAAACACCCAGCAGCACAGGCCCATCAAGTCACCCTCCACCAGCTCCACCCTAGGGCAAAGTTCCCAACAAGCTGATGAGCAAGGACTAGGTGAATCTATTCCCACTCATGCTTTTCTTTTATCATTTAACCATTTCCAAAGACACAGGGAGTTCAGGGTACCCCAAGTGGGCCCAGCTCCTGTCACACTGAATAGGACCTCTTAATAATAGGACCCAATTCTTCCCAATGGCCCACAGAAAGTATCCCCACCATAGCCAGCTACTATCCCTTCTTACCATCTTGCCTCACCAAGCCCTGCTGAATATAGCGAATGTATGTGAAGAAGTTGCACACCGCTGTGATCTGAGGAAGAGAAGGGAGAGAAGGGAAAGAAGAGTCAGCTACAGCAGGAGAGCTCTTAGTGTTGAGCACCTGAGAAATAGTACTATGTACCACCAGATGGCAAGAGATAGGAAGAAAGCTGGTTTTAAACAAACCAAAAATCAAAATTCTGGGCATCTGCAATCCCATGTCAAGATATTACCCTATCCATGAGACACACTGTGGAAGAACTCCAAACTACTACTGATGTAAAATATCAGTAATCACTAAATGTGGCAGCAAAGTCCATGACCTTCCTTCAGAGAGGGCTTATCTGACTGAAGAAAAATCTTTGGAGCTAAAGGTTTGTGCAGGGAGGTAAGGACATTAGTGACACTTCATGTGAGGCACTGGTACAGGCTGCCCAAGGAAACTGTGGATGTCCCATCCCTCAAGTGTTCAAGGCCAGGTCAGACAGGACTGGAGCAACCTGCTCTAGTGGAAGGTGTTCCTGACCATGGCAGTGGGGTGGAACTGGATGAGCTTTAAGACCCTTTCCAATCCAAACCATTCCATGATTTTATGATTCTATGACTGCTAGTCACTTCGGTGCAAGTGACAAAAATCATTCAACTTAAGTCCATGCACAAACCCAACTTTTTGACTCAGAAATAATCACATGTTGCAGGATCTCCGATATGTAACTGAGGAAAGAATAAACTTCCGAAATGCTCCACTGAATCAGAGCCTCAACGGCAATATTAACAAATCATTCATCTTCTCCCTTCCCTCCAAAGAAAGGACAGCTTGTTCTCCCAACTATTTGAGTCACTGATCTGTACTGGAACAGTAACAAGGGCCAGCATTTAAAGAGCAGAAAATTACTGTGTTTTATAAAGGAGAATTAAAACATAATAATAAAGCAAAACAATCAAAGCCCTGTACTGAATCAAACCATGGAAAGTGAACACACTGAAAACAGGTTGCCTGAAGGAACTTACAGCAGAGCACCGGAGTGTGAGCCAGGGCTGAAACCTGCCCCCTTGTCATTGATCAAGAGCCACCTCGACTTCAGGAACAAACTCAATTCCCACAGGTCTCTGCCAGTTTGAGGGCTGACCCTCAAAAAGCATCTCCATGTCAGGGCTTGGAACACTGTTGGAGGGCTGAGGCACACTGGGAATGTGAAGGACTTACTCTGGCCCTGCAGGATGGTGAAATGTAGTAGTAATTCCCAGAATCCCCCAGCATGATGCGGTGCTTGCAGGTCCTGGGGAGGCCACTCAGAGCACACTTCCTGCAAGCAAAGGAAGAAACACTTCAGCCTTCACCAATCCACTGCACAGCAATTCAACAGCTTCAAGACTATCCATAAGAGGAGGAAGCAGTGCTTAGAAGCCAGATCTGTGTCAGTCAACTGAAGAAATAAAATCCCATGGTTGATAGGAGCCTTTGGCTCCTAGAAAGATTCCATAAACGGCAAGTTTAGGAGGCCTTAGGCTAAATATCTGGAACCATGAATCATTCCACACCCAAGCAAAGGCTGTATCCTTTCCCTGGCAGACAGCCCAAGACAAAACCACAGAAAACATTAAAGAGATGAGGCTGGAGCAGAGTATAACAAGTGTCCTCCAGTCTCTGCACATCTCTGTGTTCCAGGCAAGGCTTTTGCTGAAGTTGTTCCACTCAGCTGCTTCAGCTTTCCTGATGAGGCACAAACATGCTGGCTGAGGGCCAAACCTAGTCCCAAAACAGGTATATCCAGCATTTGAGCAGAAATTGCTCATGCTGAGCTCAAAACAAGCCACCCTACAGTCTTTATGCCAGCCTCCTCTTTACTAAGATGGGCCTGATTTGAACCTGCTCTAGTTGAAGCCACATAAAGTGACTTTCTACTGACTTCATGGAGACTTTCACTAAGGCTTGTAGTTCCTATGAACAAGCAATCCCTTCTTGCACAGACGGGGAAGAAGCTTGGCTTCACAATTGTAAGGAGATTTCAGACGGCAAACAAAAGCCTTTTCAAGACAACTCAGCTCCCAGGGAGACCACCAAGAGATGTAACCACCAAGGTTGCAGCACACCTCTATTTTCTTGCCATTTCATTCCCTTGCTTGCAAGTCAAATGGATCCCAGCACCAACCAGTTGCCCTTCCTTCATCACCACTTAAAGCAGTAAAGCAGAATACTCTGCTGCAGTCATCACCATGTTCCTCAGAGACTTAGTGGTCCTACCAGGAGAAGTGAGACATCACTCTCCAGCTGCAAAAAAATTGCCCTGTGGGCCATGGAAGAGGACAAAACACAGGGACACATGTTTCAGAGAGCTTCTGAGCACATTTCTGTGCTTGCTTTCCACTGCTAGCGAGGCAAATATTTAGGTAAGAGTGGAAGCATGGGCTGTAAGCCACCCTCATAGTAAAGAACTTCTTATATCCAACCTGAACTTCCCCTGTTTAAGTTTTAACCCATCACCCCTTGTCCTATCACTGCAGTCCCCAGCATCCTTGTAACCCCCTCCAGACACTGGAAGCTGTTCTGAGGTCTCCATGCAGCTTCTCTTCTCCAGGCTGAACAGCCCCAACTGTCTCAGTCTGTCTTCATATGGGAGGAACTGGGGAAACAAAGGGGAACAAATTCCTTTGGGCATTTATTGCCAATAGCAAGATTCCTTACTGGCCTGTGTCTGGGTGGAAATTAAACAGGGTTAAAAAGTTAGCTTAGTTCAGCTCCAGCCTCAAAGCTTCTAAATGGCACTAAATTAGTAACTTGTTAATGGATTAGAGATCTTTGATCACTCACTGAAAAATAAATACTTCACTTACGTTACAATTTGTGACCGGAACCCACTGTGAAGACATAAAAAAAAAAAAAAAAAAATCAAAGGAAACCAGTAAGGATAAACACAGGATGGGTTGTTCTTGGAACAGGCCTGACACATACTCATGAAGTTTGCCTAGAGATGACAGAAAATGCAGAGGAGAGTAGTAGGAAACCTGCATGCAGCATTTACTGTTACAGAAACACTTTAGCTTAGAACATGCTTGAAGGTAAGGGAGGGAAGAACAAAGAGAGAGAGCCCTGACTGAACTTAAATTCAGTAGCTGAATAAAATTTCCTATCTTCATATGGAATACCATGTCATATCTGCTAAAGCTCCTCCTTTTTGAGTAAATCTCAAGTTGTCTGTCATACCAGATACAGTCACACAAGCTCTGAAGCAGCCATAGCCCCAGTTCTGATGGTAAAGTGGGAAAGATGATATGCAGCAAGAGGAGATATCTTCTGACCTAGACTCAAACCCACCTAGTGCACCAGCAAGGTCAAGAGCACAAGGTGAGTTCAAACCTCACAAGATGCAAGAACATGAGATAATCATAGAATCCCAGACTGGTTTGTGTTGGAAGGGACCTTAAAGATCATCCAGTTCCAAGCCCTGCCATGGGCAGGGACACTTTCCGCTAGAGCAGGCTGCTCCAAGCCCCTGTGTCCAACCTGGCCTTGAACACTGCCAGGAAGGGGGTAGCTGCAGCTTCCTTGGGCACCTTTTGCCAGTGCCTCAGCACTCTGTGGCTCTGACTTAATTCTTTCACCCTAAGTTATGCACAAACACACCTTTAGAGAACATTAAACAAGTTGCTACCTTAATGGGAAAAAAATCCAAACCTCTCCCAAGCGAAGGGCATTAACATATCACTAGGTTATCTCCCAAAACAGTCATCTACAGTACATCAACTGAGCTAATTCCCATTCTCACGGAGCTAAACTACCACTGGTCATAGGCTAGAACACTCAGGTGAGCCCTTTGAACTGTTCACCTCAACTGACTGAGCAAGGCCTCACCAAACTCCACTAGATGGTACAGACACGTAGCAGAGAGGACAAGAGAGCATAAACATAGTTCCTTACTTTGGGCCACCACACTCTTCTGCTGACACCTTCACCGCAGGCAGTGTCTGAGAAGCAACTGGCTCAATGGTGAGTGTATTCTGCTCCACAGCCACTCGCACCAGCTCCGACAGCTGTGGCAAAGAGAAAGCAGATAGGAATGTACAAAGGTCACCTCCATAAAGGTGTAACTTTGATGCTGTGCAGTTTTTGTCCTCCTTTTCCAGCACTCACCTCATGCTTAGTAAAGTCCAGACAAGGTCCTACATCTTCCCGATAAATTCTGTCCAGGAAGGAGCAGGATTTATCTAAGGTTGGAGATTCCTTCCAGGCCTGGAACTCAGCAAATAAAATGGAGTCGACCTGCAGCAAGTGTCCAACAGGAGTGGGAAGAGAGAAAGTGAGCGGAGAGATACAATATCAAAAGGTTTCTTTTATATGCAGATAACCTAACTACAAAGCATCTGCTTTGGCAGCTAGAAAGGCTTAGACACCACATAAGTGTCTGAGGGGAAGCTGGTTTGCTCCAACCATCTTTCATCTCCCACCCATCAGGAGTTCTGTGCCAGACTGACACAGCCATAGTGGGCTTATTCTGTCAGGAACCTGCAGGCGCCTCTCTATCCCATCTTTCTCCAGGATGAGGCAGAACCTCTGCTACAAGAAAGGCACAACACAACCACCAAACAGACCAAGTGCTCACTCAGCCCATGGCAGGAATGATGAGAGCAGCTGAATGACAAAGCACAGTGGCACCCAGGGCTTCCCTAAGGGAAGGATTGCTACAGAAAATGATGAATTGGAAAAAAGCTATGAATAAACAGCCATCAGCAGGACTACATTCAGTGAGCCCAAGAATGAGTTCACAGGCTATGCCAGCCCTTTAAAGACCACTTCAAGCCCAGAACTCTGGTGTTTGTGGACTTGCAGAAGTAATGGGAACACTAGGAAGCCATACAGGCTTGCAGAGGCAAGCTGAGTGTAGGAAAAGAGCTCTCTCAAAGGGAACTCAAAGAACAGGAACAGCTTTCCTTATTCTAATATCTGCTCATTGCCTTGGGCTTGCAAGAATTATCACTGCTCAGCGACATGGGACCCAGGACAGAGCTTGCTCCCAGCCCCTGTGAAAGTTGTTTCCTCCATGTCTGTCTGGATGGAGGGAGTCTCTGGGACCTGGCATTTAAATCCCGGATGGATCAGTAGCCAAACCACCAACCTGACTGACAGGGCTTCTCCTTAAAAGGCCAGCAAATCCTGTTAAAGCTGGTGAAAGGGAAAACAAAACTAAAGAAACCCTGCTGAGCAACACAAAGACCATGAGTGAAGAAAGCTGAAAATAGGTCTGGGTTCTAGCACATTCATTCTATGCTATGGACACTGCTCACCTGGCACCAGGAGACAGCTTCAGAGCCACAAGATGGAAAAACAAATGGAGAAAAACAAAAAGAAAACAAAATATGGAGGTTAGCATAAAAGGAAGCTGGAACTGAAAGGCTGGAAGTGTGAGAGGTAGATGTATCCCACCCATCACCAGTGCTGACCAGAAAGGTTACCTGCTGCAAGGACGAGGAAGCATCTGCCCCCAAGGCCTGCCAGCTTGGTTCATAGGTGATGTGGATTGCCTTCCCAGGGATGAAACAGAGGAGCAAAGAAAGGAGAGCAGGTAACCCAGACTTCGAGGGCAGAGGAAGAGACAGACAGTGAAGGGAAAGGTTTAGAGACAGGCAAGAAAGGGAAGTAACAAACATGAGATAAACCAGAAGATACAAAGACAGGCTCAAGTCCTCCCTTCCAGGGAACTAAGCACACTGCTTAAGAAATCACAGGGTCACAAGCCTCACCTTTTCTCTTCAGCTTGAGGTGCAAAACCAGAACAAATTCTGACATTTTTAGGCTCAGTTTAAGATATGGCATGTGCTTTCCACAGAGCACCAACTCTCCGAATCCCAGGTTCCCTTTTACCACCTCTCACATAGGCCATTAAGGAGTTTGAGAGACAGAAATTAACAAGTTACAAAAAAAACATGCACCCCATCTTGGACACATAAAATTAGTCACTTTGGAACTGGCATTTTAAAGCTCAGGTTATCTGCACGATGTGGAAGTTGCCCACACAAATGACAGGCCCAAATCTGTTCTGACTGGAGGAATGGGTAGCACTGGGAGAGCTCACAGGTCCTTAAAAATACTAAAACCTTTTTCATCCCATCCCTCAAAGTAGCTTCTAACTGACTGCATTTGACTGCAGCTTCCAGCATGCCTGGACTGTTCCATGTCTGACCACTAGAAACCAGGCTTTCGCAGTTATCAAACTCATTTTCCTTTGGCTTTCTTTCTCATATAACCTTTGTTCCTCTCTGCCTGTGAATAGTTAAAGGATCTTCATCTCTCATGGCTTTTGCTGTCTCAGAACAATGGCTATAGCCAATGCTGCCTGAAGCATTTCAGCCAAACTCTACCAAGAGCACTGTGCAGAAGGCACATTCACTGAATCCACTGCCAAAAGCAGATGTTAACCAGTGTTGCCAGCACAGTCCTGTTTGGTGAGAGCATTCATTTCACAAGTGGCTGTTCTGCATATGTTCTCATGCAAACCAAGTGACTGGGTACCTTTGTGTTCCCTCAACAATTCCTCAGGCTGCAGCACCCAGAAAGTTACTAGGGAGACATATTCCCCCCACCACCTTCTCATTCATTTTCCTTCTTGCTCCCAGGACTGCTGTGAATATATCTGGCTAGTGGAAAGTTCCCAGATGGAAAAGTCCTGCTAGCAGGAAGAAGCATTACTTACACCCATGGTCACAGCAGGTGGGGGACTATCAAAGGATGACCAAAGGGAATTAAACAGGGTTTGTTTGAAAGATATTCACAAATGCTCTGTATACTTCCCTGCCCAGTTCCTTCCAGTGAGGAAGGAACTAAATATAATTCCACTATGCTCTGCAAAGAAGAGTAAGAACAGTGAAATGCCGGAGAAAAGAGCAAGTGACAGACTAGAAGCTGATGGAGGTATCCAGGTGTCCAAGCCAAAATAGGCAGACAGAAGAAACAACAGCAAATCACACCAGAACAGGCAGTGGACTCAACTGCCACGGTGCAGCAAGCAACTGTCTTCTGCCCAGCAACTCCTGACACACCCACTCTCAGCACTGGCAACTCCTGAATCTGTCCATGCCCTCCAGGGATCTCCTGGCTGCTTCCTCCAGCAGTTGTCCTGACGCAGCCTTCAACATGCTTCTCAGAAGAGGAAATCTCCACAAATGGAAACCCTCCAGAGCTTGCCTCAGCACAAATTTAGGGAACAAGCCACATTACTGCACAAACAGCTTCTCCCAACACTGAAACCACAGAGCTCTCCAGGAAGCCCAAGGCAAAAGCCACACAGCTCCCTGTGCACAGTGACAACAGTGGCTCCAGGGCCAGTGCAGTGAATGGCCCTCACCCACCTCTTTGCACTCACGGCTGACAGGCTCTGGAGTCACATTCTGGCTGGCAGCTGAGACCATTGCACTGCTGGTGCTTTTGTTTCGCCCATGGCCCTTTCTGAAGCCAGCTTTAGAAGGGCTCTGAAGCTGAGGGTGCAGCTCCCGGTTTGGAGAAGAAGGTGTTGACGTGATGACCAATGTCTTCAGAGCTGTTACCTCTGCCTGCAGCATGTCGATCTGAGGAAACAAGGCAAGAGTCAGCACCTTCAGCACCTCCTGAGCTTGAGCTTGCTGCACCCCCACCAAACACTAAAGCTACTGGGGTCCAGCTACAATCCCCCGATCCATCTCTCACAGGGGAGCTGGATCAGCCGCAGGCTGCAAGGATGCCTTTACCCCCCTCAATTAGTGTCTGCTGGAGAGGGAACAGAGCAAATGAAGCATCTCAGAGAGACTTTACTCTCCTCCAGCCAAACAGCATCATGGCCAGGCTGGGCAGGGATGGCATCAACCTAGCACAGAGATCAAGACTCTGTGTAAGAGAGTGGAATTCTTACCTTCCCCCGTGCCTCCCTCAGCTGTTTCTCTGATGCCGCCTGTTTAGTGTTTGCTTCTCTCACCATCTTGTGTGCTTCCTGGACCAGAGAGAATTTGAGTCAGCTTGTTGCAGCCCCAACTCAAAGCCACCAGGCCAGGCCAAAGCTCTGCTGTATCACATGCTCAGGGCAAGCAAGCAGGAGGACAGACATCACTGCCACATCCAAGGGTTTTACTCTGCCATCTGTGAAGACCCTTCTCCCAGAATTTCCCAGAGAAAGCTCTGAGTGCCAGAGTCTGGAGTGCATAGTTGACTTAACTAAAGAGTTTAGCTGGCCAAATCCAAGGTCATCTCTTTCACCAATATGAGGTGCTATGAAGAAAGGGAGAAGCAAGTGCCTGCCCCTCCTTGACCTTGGGAACAGCTTTAAAGCTGAGGCTTCGACATTAGCACTCACCTATGCTACATCACTGCTGTGGAGCAGTTGTGTCTGCACCCAGTCCAATACCTCTGCAACTCTGAACTTGACCCAGCTTGGCTTCCTGACTCAACCTCAGGCCTGTGCTGTCACTGCAGTCACAGCAGACTTGCTGGTTGATCACTGGACTGTTTTATGACCTTGGTTTCTGTCTGTGGCACTAATCCTGATCCAGACTTGCGGCTCCACATCTTGGCTCCTCACTGGCGAGGTCACTGCTCTTGCTTGTTACTGCACTTTGCTCCCACTTCCCTTGCAGACAGGCCAGCTCCTCACTGCTCTGGGCATGGCTGCAACACAGCAGGAGCTGTAGCTCAGGTGGAGACCAAATGGCAGAGGCAGCTTAAAAGCATCTCTCACAGGATGAGGGGAGTGGTGTGAATCCCAGCTGGAGCCTCCCTGCTGTCCAAGGCCACCAAAGGAAGTGAACAGCCCTCAGCTATATTACCTCTATGTTCACCCTGAGCCCAGGAAACCAAACCTCCAGGAAGGGGATGCTCTCCTGGCCCTCACACTTAGCACCAGCCTGTTTCAAAGGTATAGATGGGCTCTGGCTTTTTCCTGGCTGCTCAGTCAAATCCAGACATTAGAGCTGCTGGTAAATGGGATCTTGCCAGGAAAGAGCTTGGTAAGAATCATGTTACATGAAATACCCAACCAACAGGCCTTCTGAACAATCACTGGAGCAGAGCATATGAGGACATCCAGCTTGTTCCCACCCCAAGCAAGGGCTGACACGAGCCAGGGAATCATCTCTATTACACAGCAGCTGCTGTCCAGACTCAGAGCACGCATAGGAGAGGGGCAGAGAGCTATGCTTAGCTCCAGCTATAACCATCCCCACATCTGTTTTTGCTACCAGATGGAGACCCATAACTAATGTGCTCTTTATGCCACCACACAGCTGCTAGAAGAGGAAAGAAATGCATGTAAATACTCCCTAGGAGAAGTTACAAGCCCCTGCTCTGAGGCTGTGCCTGCAGCACTGCCCAGCTCCACTTCTCCAAGTGGGAAAAGAAAAACAGGAGAAAGGAGGAAGCTGTGGGAGGAGATGGCTGGAAGTTCAGGGAAAGCCTGTCTTAAAGGAGTTAGATGTAAGCTTAGTTTAAGAAATTATGGGAAAAGGAAGAGGGTGGGACCTCAAATAGGCTAGCTGTTAACTCCTCTAGTTCCTGCTCCAGTTGTTCTCTGACTTTTGATAATTTCTCACATTCTTTGTCCTTCAGCTTCAGCTCCTGTTGAGGAAATGGAGAGAGACACATGAGCTCATAGCAAGCCCCAGCAGTGCTGTGCCTGCCTGCCCCCACTTGTCAATCATAACCTTTCCTTCCACCACAGCATGGATTCCTGGTCTAAGACTCCTGTGTACCCCACTCCATGTCCCTCCCCAAGTTCTAGCAGGCTTTTCAGGCTGGAATTGCTTATCTGCAGGGAGGCTCCATAGTAAGTACTGCCTGCCTCCAACTTCTTTCTGCAGCAGATTTCCAGGAGAAAACATGGATGTTGGCACAGAGGCTTTGGGTCATGCAATTCATGACTTTGCTCCAAAGCACTTTATGGCCACCTCAGCATAATCTCTGTCCTTTTCTGCCTGCTCCAGACTGTGCCACAGCCACATTCAGACCCTGTTCCCCTCAGCATCACTTCTAGGAACATCCCCACTGCTCAAATCTATGCCACCATCCTCAGTATTCTTGCAAACTCTGGGCCTTACCTTTTGTGCTTTGTGCAGCTCTTCCTTCAGGAATTCAGACCCTTTTTCACGGATTTCCACTGAAGAGCTGCGTAGACGTGACACGTTGAGCTGCTCAGTGGACTGGGTCTCATCCACACCTCCAGCATCCTGGCACCCAGCTTCTGTCTCCTCCTTGCTCCCTTTGGATGGCATTAGTGGTTTCCAGTGTCCAATAGCTGGTTGCTTCTGGCTATCATCCTCAAAATTGGCCTGGCTGTGGGTTACCAACACAGTGAAACTTTATATGGGGGTGATTCATAGCCTTCCTCTAACACTCAACACCAGTCTCTGCCTCCAGCCTCTCACAGGCACTCAGGTGAGGCAGGGAAGGGGATGGTGGATGAAGAAGGCAGCAGCAGCTGCACCAGTTCTTTACCCTTTTGGCTGGATTGCTTCCTGCCTGGCAACAGAAGACATGATCTAAAATACTTTGGGGGCAACCTCCACTCCTATCCTGGGATCTTTAAGAATCACACCAAGTCTAGTTTGAGACGCCCAGCCTGCACCCCTTTTAAGAGGGCTGGTTTCTCAACAGTGAGTACTCCCTCACAAGTAATACTGGATGCACAAAACTTAGCAGGCAACACAATGCTATTAGTAACTCCTGGCGTAATCCTTCTCAAACAGCATGTCTCAGATACTATTAACTCAGAATAAAGCAGGAGAAGTAAAGACAGCTACTCCAGGAATCCCATTCTCACCTGCTTTGGAGAGCAACCCTCTGCAGCTGGCTTGTTTAGAATGCCAGTATACACTCAGTACACCTAAGTTCAGAGACACTCTGAGCAGAGTAGTGAGGAAAAGTGAGTACAGCTCTCCCATTCCCTATGAATGTACAGATCTTAATCCCCCCACTACAAACCCACCTTCTTCTCCCTCCCACCCCTGTTTTGCGGAAATCTATTTTTAACCATTGGTTTCCCACCAGAGTCCTCCACAGAGCTCTCTAAACACGTGTATTTCCATTGAGCTGAGACGAAGCCCTCTTTTTTTAGTTTCAGTGGCTTGCAAATAGAGATGTACTAGAAAGAAGAAACCAGAAGAGTCACTCAGGACACCTTTTTCCCTAGTGCTCAGTAGGACTTTGCCAACTGTCAGACTAACACAGACCCTGGAAGAAGCTTGGTGAATTTAGTAGGCTTTGTAGTTGATGGGGTCTTATGAGAGGAAAACATAGGCTTTATTTCCTGCATGACAGGGCACTGCAATCTTAGTGTTGTCTTGAGCATGTGCATCACCCCTTCTTCATGCACTGAAATGTCCACATGCAGCCACTTGTCATCTGAAGTCAGAGATCAAGTCTTGCACACATGGAAGCTTTCTATCGTGTCCAGCCACTCAGCTTGACCCACACGCTGCACTACAGATTAACCTGCTGCTGGTTATCTCTGGGTCACAAGCCTTAGCTGAGCTGTGTGCTACCCTCTTCCATGTACAGCACCAAAATCCCTCCTCCTGCACACTCCTGGCTACTGCTTCTTCTCCACTACCTTCTCCTGCAGAGAAGCTATCACCTTCTTTTGGCTAGGTTCACTTCCCCCTCTTCCCAACGTGTTTTCCTCTCCTAAACTTGCCCTACCTCTTGTATTCCAGCCAGGCCTCGCTCTTCCTCCTCACTCTGACTCCAGCCCCACACTGGGCTTATCTGCTTGGCCATGGGCAGCACAGAAGAGCCTTGTTTTCCCTTATTTCCCTTTCTACCCCCAAAGCTGTCCATGAGCAAGCTGTCCACAGGCATCTTCCAGAGAGGGAAAGAAAAAGCAGCTTGCAGCTAATTCAGCTCAGGTACCACAGGAAAGCATGTGGAAAAGCACACATGGAACACTATTTGAACCCTTGGAAGACAAAGAGCACAAGATCCTTGCTGCAGTGTGATGCCAACTGATGCACCAGGATGGCCATACAGCAGTTTTAAGAACATAGGAAAGGACAGAAACTAACTAATGTCCCATTGACCTCACCTGCTTTCACTGAACATTCACTGTTAAGATCTGGAAAAGGAGGCTCATCCTGGTGATACTACTAACTTTGGAAGTATGGAAGATAACATGAAAGGGTGTGTTGGGGAAAAGGCAAGAAAATAAAATTGGTTTTAGACAGAGGAAAAAGGACAGACAGCTCCTCCAAGCAAAGTTCACCTTGAGCTATTCAGCATGCTGGCACTGCTTGATAAAAAGTGATATGCACAAACATGGAGGGATAAGGCTGACTGAGCAAGCCATGACCAACAGGAACTCCCAGACTGGGCAGGCATCTACAGTTTGAGGTGCAAGAGAGCATAGAAGTGAGAACTACATGGTGTCCAGGGCATGCAGTGCCTGCTCCATCCAGACAGGCTGTTCTGTTGGCACATCTGGTTAATCAGAGGAAAAGTAGAACTGCACAGAAGAAATGAAATGGCTTAGAAAGGTCAAGATTAGTTAACACACATCACTTACCTAAACAGTGACATCGCTAACAGGATGAGGAGGTCTCCAAAGGCTCCAAACACTAGGAAACAGGACAGAATAAGTAAAAGAATGACCCAAAGGAAGGAATGAAACACACTACAGGAATATGGAGATTTAATGAGACCAATTAATGAAGTGGATCTGCCACGGGGCATGGGAAGCATGGCAAGCAGAGGTCTGTTCAACACTTAAACCATCTCTCAGGTGGCATAGTAGAAGCTCTCTCTGCTGTGGACTTTTGAGATTATACAGTGTAAGCTGCAGAGAACACATCTCTCCAGGTACTCCTGCATTAGAAAGGAAATACACCAGAAGGGACCCAGCCAGTCCTAGCACCTCCAGCTTCTGTGATCAGAAGGAAGCAACAATCAGAGCACGGAGGAAAAGCCAGATTCAAAACCAAGCAGCAAGGAAAAGGGACATTTCAACACTCCACTAAACTACTAAGACAGCCAAACTAACTCATACGTAACAGGAAGAAAAAAAACCCTGTTGTTTCATTATGACTCTCAAGTTCTCAGATGAAAGTTGTTTGTCTTGGGAGGCAGGTATTCCAGTGTATTTCCATGCACTGTGGAAGAAAACTGGAGGATACCAAGGAATGAAACAGTCCCACCCACACTCTGTAATACCAAGGGACCTAAAAACCTATCCTGAAGAATCATTTCTATGATGATATAGTGCATTCTCTGCCAACAGAATCTCCACAAGGGCCTTGGCTACGCTGGCTCCTGCCCAGCCAAGCCCCATCTCCAGTATCCAGCTGGGGCTTTGAATTACAAAGCTCCAGAGACCAAAGGACCACCGTGTACAGGCACACTCTTGCTACTGCTGCTCTGTCGGCTGTCTTTCATGGAAAAATGTATTATCTCCTAAATGTCCCACACTGACACAAGAAATGCAAACTTGTACAAAAAACAAACCCTAAAACAACCCCAACAACCTTCTAAAGTTGGTTTCTGTAGAAAAAGCAAAAAAATGTGCAGGATCTGCACTTTTTCCAGTGGGCCCCACATGTTCCTGCAATGCTGATCCGACAGGGTTATTTCCCTTACAAACAGCCCTGTGAGTCTCTCCAGGTTAAACTCTTCCCCTCCAGCTCACAAAGAGGACCTGAGTGGTCCATCCAGATGGGACAGACCCCTGACTGCTGCCATCCTGCACCACCATGAACCAGCATCTCTCACCACCCCACTAAGAGCTCGGTAAAGGGCCTCTCAGGAGCTTTCGGCAGAGCATATGGTAGCATTTTATTTTAGCTTAACGCATAACTTTTATTTCTTATATCTGCCTCGGCAATCACCCACTGCGTTCTTACACCTGAGGGCTGCTGATGGACACGATATGTCCCTATCCTGTCACAGAACCCGAGAGTGGTTATTGGGGGAAGGAAAAAAGCTCATCCAGTTCCACGGGCAGAGACACCTTCCACTAGAGCAGGCTGCTCCGTCCCGCCTGGCCTTGAACACTGCCAGGAATGGGGCAGCCCGTCTCCCTTCTTGACTTCCACACAACCACAGCTGCAGAGCCCCGAGACCGGAGAAGCCGTCAGCTTTAGGGCTCTGCAAGGGCATGAAGCGCTACCAACCACCGCAGCAAACCCAATGGAAGCCCGAGGGGACCCTCAGACACCACAGTCCCAACACCCGCGTGCGGCCCCGCGGAGCCACCGGCTCCCCCCCTTACCCCGCTCGGGGGGCGGTAGGCCCGGGTATCACACATCGCAGGCCCGCAGCGCCCAACCGCCGCCCCCTCAGGCTCCACCGCTAACGGCCGCCCCTCCGCCCGCAGCCCGGCTCCCGGACCTACCCCCGCCGCATGCTGGGTCCCGCCGCCGCCGCCGCCGCTCAGGGTGAAGGAGCCGCTGCTGCCGCCGCCCCAACCATGCCCGGAGCCGGCCCCGGCGCCCAGGCACCGCCTGAAGGACGCGCTCCCGGGAAGGGGGGAACAGTGACCGAGGTGCGCCTGCGCAGTGCTGCCCGCCGGGCCCGGGAGGGAGGGAGGGAGGGGGGAGGCCTGAGAGGGGACGTGGAGTCCTGGGGTGGTTCGGGTTGGGAGGGTGCTTAGGGCTCCTCCAGCTCCAACCCCAACCCCTTCCACCAGAGCAGCTTGCTCCAAGCCCCTGTGTCCAACCTGGCCTTGAACACTGCCAGGGATGGGGCAGCCACAGCTTCTCTGGGCACCCTGTGCCAGCGCCTCAGCACCCTCACAGGGAAGAGCTTCTGCCTTAGACCCAACCTAAATCTCCCCTGTTTCAGTTTTAACCCACTACTCCTTGTGCTGTCACTATAGAGAGGCACCCTCGCTGCGATGCTGGAGCAGCCGGATGGAGGTGTGTGCTCAGCCAGGGGTTCAGCCTGAGCCAGCTCCCATAAACACACCATCCCTCCCCAGCACGGAGCGTGCCCGCTTGCTCCTGCTGAAACAGCTCAATGGGCTCCGTGGGTGGCTGGACGGGGGTGAGAAAGCATACTGAAAGGCTGTTGGGTCAGGATAAGGACAATGAGAATGCTCAGCGGTTACTGTCATGGGCAATACAGCCTCAGCTTTGGGAAGGGAGCTTAATTTATTACCAATGGAATCAGAGAACAGTAACGGGAAATAAAAACTGAATCCTACAAGACCTTTCTCCCGTTCTTCCCTTCTTCCCAGGCTCAACTTCACCCCTGATTTTCTCTGCCTCCTCCTCCGGAGCAGCACAAAGGGATGAGGGTTGAGGTCAATCCATCGCACTCTGTCTCTGCTGCTTCTTCCTGCTCAGGGGGAGCACTCCTCACACTCTTCCCCTGTTAAAACACTGGGTCCCTTCCACAGGAGACAGTTTTCCATGGACTGCTCCAACATGAGTCCTTCCCACAGGTTACAGTTCTTCACCACCACCGGCTCACAAGTCCTGCCAGCAAACCTGCTCCGGTGTGGGCTTCCCACAGGGTCACAGCCTCCTTTGGACATCTACCTCCATCCCCGTGGAGCGTCCTCCACGATCTGCTTCATTGTGGACCTCCATGGCCTGCCTCACCATGGTCTGCAACATAGGCTGCAGGGGAATCTCTGCTCTGGCACCTGGACCACCTCCTTCCCTCCTTCTGCTCTGACCTTGATGCCTGCAGAGCTTTCTCTCACATACTCTCCTCTCCCATTGCAATTGCTTTGTGCAGCTTCACCCCCACTTCTTAACTATGTTATCCCAGAGGTGCTAGCAACATCACTGCCACTCAAACCCAGTACAGTGAGGGAATCTGGGATGTAAAGAAGTGATTGATAATACACAGGAAGCTGAAAGGATGGGAGAAACCTGGCCGAGAGGAGAAAGGCTTGTTAGTGATGGGCAGCAGCAGGACTGGACCAGGATTTTTGAAGTCCCCATTCATGGAAAGCACTGGGCTTCCCATAACCTGGTGTGAATGAGACAACTCAGTCTCCTTGTTACTGAGTTTTGAACACTGGATACTGCAGCTCTGATTTTTAGCTGGCTCATCCTTCCAGGAGGCTGAGGGAGCAGGGCAGCTCTCCCAGCACACGAGAGCAGTCATGTGTCCGCACTGATTTACACCATCTCTGCAAAGCAGTGGGAACACACTATTCCCTGCCCGCTCATTTTACCCCCTGCATCACCAGCTCTCATGGAGGAGCCTCATTGCCCAGGGCACACTCATCCCAAAATGCTTTTTCCTCACTTGCCCTGCTCTGCTAGCACAGAGGGGCAAAAAGGCTCAGCTCCAGGTCATTCCTGGGGCATTTGGAAACGACTGATCCACTCCACAGCCTGTTGCTGAAATCAAGAGGAGATACAGTTCTAGGTAGTTCACCTAGGGCATTACCTACAGCCAGAGAGACAACTGTCCCTCACAGTGCTGTGAGGTTCCCACCTCCCAGCACATGATCCAGGGCATGTCTGCCTGCTGGGAACAAACCAGGCAAAACACTTCTGCTCTTACCCCAGTCCCACAGTGGATCCCACAGCCACCTCTGGATTGACTGCAATTGGCAAGGCAGTGCCTCCAATGGGCCAAAACCTGGTCCCCTACAAGCCACCCATGGAATATGTTTGACTGGTCCTTCCCCATGTTTCCCATTGTGTCCTACCTTGCCTTGGGCTTTCCTCCAGGTATCTCCTCCAAGCCTTCACACACAGGGGCAGCTCCCAGCCTGGAGTCAGCTACTCCATCCTCTGCCTCACTGCCAAAGGCAGGCAAGTTAGATATGGAGGTCCTTGTATCTATTCCAGACAACCACTGTAGATACGACACGAGGAGCAATTCCCTCTCCCAGCTTCTCCTGGGTGTCCATGTCATCTACAGCCCTGCCCTGCCTTGCGGTCACAATCCGTGGTGGCAACAGAGGCCAACCCCATGCTCTGAACGAAATGTTTGAGAGGTTTGTGTCGACGGCTGTAACCTTTGTTATCTTCAGGGAACTTTTGGAAGGAGGGGAAAGATCTTCAGCTTTGCAAGACAGCACCAGAAGTAATTAATCTTTGTAATGATTAACTCCCAAGGCCTGGCTGGCAGGGACGGAGGGTCCTCAGATTAGAAAGGTAGAACTGCTTCCAGGATCCAACAAAGGCAGGAAGAACCAGAAGTGATAGTGCAGACAGGAAGCATGAAGAGGGAATGTGCTGGAGATGCCAAATGCCAGCCACTGGCAAAAGTAACTTGTCACAAGGTGAAAGCAGAACTGCTCCCCCTCACTCCCAGCCCCAAAGGACAGGCAGAGCTCCTGCAGAAGCCTGAACAGACGTGAGAGTTCTCCATAACCAGATGAATGGGCTGGCCCTGCAGAGCAGAACCCAAACTGGGGGTTATCATGCAAGCTGCCTCGAGGCAGGAAAAGCTGCTGCCTTCTCCATGCTCTCTGCACAAGGCTGGCTGTGTTGCAAAGCATCCCAAAGTGTCCATCCCAGCAACTGGTGAGACACAGACCCATCTCTCACCTCTGCTTCCAAGAGATAACAAACCACTAGACAACCTTCAAGTCTCAGTGCAGTTGGAAGCTGTGAACCAGCACCCTTGTCTCACACCATGGATGTACCCACCTCATTTTCCAGTTACATTTCATGGAAGCTGAACAAATTACTCCGTGTAATGAAGTGTCATGAAATCCACTTTGCCTCCTGCAAGTCTCCCAGCACAGCACATACCTGTTGTGAAAGCCTTGACATGGAACCTCCCCACTTCCACAGGCATTTTTAGCCATCCTTTCCCCCCCATACCTTCCCCATTTCCACTGCCTTCGCTCTATCATTTGTACCCACTCACCCCCTACTCCTCTCACATCCCTCCTGCAGATCCACCATCCACCTAGCCAAGCTACCCACCTCCCTGACTCTTCACCTTTCATTCCTCATCCTCCCATCTCCTCCAGCCAGAGAAGCATTTTGCTAATGCTTTCTGTGTCTTCTTGAGAGTCAGGTCTGGTCCAGTCCCTTGTTCTCCATGGCTTTTTCATGCAGGAAAATAATCTCCAAAGTCCTTCCTCTGGGTTTCTCAGATGCAGGGATATGCTTGTGGCTCCCCATTGGGTCCTCAGACCCAGTTCTGCATCTCCTCCAGCACCATGAACAGTGATAGGCCCCTGTCACTGCTCGAATCCCTGCACATTATTCCTCTCAACACAGGCAATGTGGAGGCAGGCACATGCCCTGAGCAACCAGGGAGCCCCCAAAGCAAAGCAGAGACTCCCATTCAGTGGGCTCTGTTTCTGGTGTCCTAATTGCCTCCTGTGGACAACAACCTCTCTGCCTCCACATCATCCTGATCCTTCATATTCCCTCCCAGAGTGCCCACATCTTCCTCTGAATGAGTCATAAATGAAAAGCAGGACTCAAAGTCCTGAGTTTGGTTCAAACAAGGTGAGAGACCACCCTGAGGAACAGAAGCAGCTCTTGACACCCTGCCCAACACAGATGCTTCCCAGTCATGGGAAAGTGTTCGGGCTTCCTCAGGGCTGCCTTGTCTGCTTATGGATTGAGATTCTACTACATTAAATTAACAAAAAAAGGGAGGAATAAAGGAAAAAACAGACCCAGGGTGGGAAGGGAAAGAGAAACAGGGATTATCTCAAACTTGGAAAGCAGGGCTACACCCCTGACCCAACAAACCCAGTCCGGATGTTATTGCCATGAAAATGGGAACGAAAACAAATGGCCTAAAGCTCCAGGCTTCATCCACCCACTCTCTCCCCTCCCTCTTGCCTGCCTCAGCTGTGCAGCGTGTTTGCTCCACTGCCTGGAAGGGCTTCAGCAAAGGTCCTCTGGGATCTCCGGGTCTAAGATCTCCGATTTCATGGATCTGCCTTGATCCCCCAGCAAACTGCAGCCCCTGTTCCAGGAAACAGGG